TTAGGCCTTAACTCTTAAGTCTTAAGTTTAAGTCAAATTAAGTGATAGACTCATTTTCAATTTCCTGGAGACAAAAATTAGCTTATTTACTTATTCTTCTAATTTCTATTAATTGTGAACGCCACTATATAATTATATCCTATACATATAGATATCTGAAAAGTAGTTAATATAACTTATGAGTGCAAACCAGACACAATAAAATTAATAATACGATGTTTGACATTTCACGGACAATCACTTTACCGGCGACAATGTCCTGGTTCTCCCCGCCATCTACGCCATGACTGTTTACCTCGACGACAGCTGTTCAAGGGGAGACAATTCCTGGTTGACATTATAACAGTTCTCACAGTTGGCACCCAGACCAGGCAACACTTGCAAATTCAATTGACACAAGATGGAAATGATGACCGTAATGCTGGCTAAAATTGAAATAACGTGAAGAAATATTTTTAAAAGACCCCAGAATACTCGAATCCTAAAATGGATTCAACGGAATATGATTCACTTAGAATTTAGGGCGGCAAGGTCTAATCCCTTGAACCAGGCCTACACAACATACGGCCCGCGGGCCTCATGTGACCCGCCAGCAACCACTTTGCGGCCCGAGAAGTAACGAAATATTTTTTTAATTCCTATTATTTTCTTAATAGCTTTCCCCATGACCTATATTCTTTTGGCCCGCAGAAGTCTTGCCCTACTTTCTTTTGGCCCGCACAAGTTTTTCATGAAGTATTACATTTTGAGTTGTGCAGGACTGCCTCAAACTTAGGGCTTAGTATTAGTGGCTCCTTCATCGTCACTTGCGATGAATTTAAACAAATAGCATAATTAACAGTAAAATGACAGTGAGGTGAATAGTCAACACTACCACTAAATTCCACGTGACACCTGAGTAGTATAAATGAATACAAAGATCAACGTATTCAATTTATCATGCAAACTTATTAAATAACTGACTGGATAAACAGTGGCGTAGCTAAGGTTAGCGCCGCCCAATTCCAAGGAACAAAAAACAACCCCACAGCTGGCAGAAAATCCCTCCCATTGTTTTGGTCATTAGGCGGGGAGATGCACCGAGAAAAATGGGAAAAGGCCAGTTTTCGATTTAGCAGTTACCATTGATATCAAATCAAAGTGTATTCAATTCCTGCACAATTATATGTGTAATTATTTTTAATTTAGGTTAAATAGTTCCAGAGATATTAATTTTTTTGCTAGAAGGGGGGTGTGTCAGAATTTAACCCCCCTCCCCCAACCCCCCCCCCACCACAAAAAAAAAAATAATAAAAATTTTAAAAAATATAAAAAATAAATCATTATACTCTTTCTGAATTAATTATTTTAAAACAACGATGACCTCCCCAATAGTTAATTGTTTATTACAATGATCAATGACGAAGAGCGTTCATAGATATAATCTACTAAAGGCTTATAAAATGATCAAGTGGAGGCCTAAGCTATGGCCTTAGACGAAACTACCCGGATTTTGTTTAATATAATAGCTAAATCTAATAAAGAAAATGTATGGACAAAATTAAATTTGCAAATGACGAATAGCGCATAGCGAACGAGTCCAACGGTAAGTCACCAAGAATAATCTTAAGTGCGCTTCAAAGCGCATCCCCTGTCTCCTCTTCTTCCCTAAGAGGGAATATCGAGTATGATGCTAACACAGGGCAGATCCCTAAGTGTGCATTTGGGGCAGCGGTGTGCATTAGTGGGAAGAGGTGGATTTCATTGTTGTTGGAATCAGTGGTAGGATTTAAATAACTTAATGTCCCATTTTCTCAAGTAGCCTACATCTTAAATTTCTTCTTCTTCTTCTATCTTTTGAGGGCCTAACAACCAATGCATTGATCATTCTGGCTCCTAGAATTCTTACGGACTTTCACGGACAAGTCATTAAATGTTACATTTTTACCGACTCTCCGTAAATTGACGACTCTCCGTAAATTGGCGGCTCTGCGTAAATTGGCGACCGGTCGCCAACCAAGAGTTATGCATCTTGAATTTCACATTTGATAATAATTGTTTTTGTTTTTTCACAAGTTGTATGTCGAGTGTTTTTGTACTAAACCAAATGCCATGGCTTTATAAAACATTCCATTTTATGTTTTCCATCAAATAACAGGCTGTTCTTTCAAAAAAATTACTATGGGTTTAAATCATAGTTGGACATTTCTTTAATAAATTGAGGCTACATAAAAATCGTTGGTAATTTTACAACCGTTAGGGCCCTCTACGGGAAAAATAAGAATATCGCCGTCTTAGACCCAAAGCTCTTGGACACTTTCTACACGACCAGCTGAGACTCCTTCTACACAAGCAGCTGGGACACCTTCTACACAATCAGCTGGGACACCTTCTACACAATCAGCTGGAACACCTTCTACACAAGCAGCTGGGAGACCTTCTACACAATCAGCTGGGACACCTTCTACACAAGCAGCTGGGACATCTACACAAGCAGCTGGGACAACTTCTACACAAGCAGTTGGTACATCTACACAAGCAGTTGGGACACCTTCTACACAAGCACCTGGGACACCTTCTACACAACCAGTTAGGACACCTTTTTTTATTCTTGCTAAGTCAGTATGGCGTCTCTTGATTGTTTCCCCTCCTTTTTCTTCACACCCTCCATACTTCCACAAGAACCTGCTACGAGCCTGCCTACTCTGGTGACACTCTGCTCTGGTGACGAACTATTCTTGTAGCACCCTGTTCTGACGGCACCCTGCTGCGTTGGCATATTTGATCTGGTGGCACCCTGTCCTTGTGACACCTTATTCTCATGGCACCCTGCTCTGGTGGCTCCCTGCTCTGGTGACATCCTGTTCTGATGGTACCCTGTTCTGGTGGCACCCTGTTGTGATGGTACCCTGCACTGGTCGCACCCTGTTGTGATGGTGCCCTGCTCTGGTCGCACCTTGTTGTGATGGTGCCCTGCTCTGGTCGCACCCTGTTGTGATGGCGCCCTGCTCTGGTCGCACCCTGTTGTGATGGCGCCCTGCTCTGGACGCACCCTGTTGTGACGGCACCCTGCTCTGGTCGCACCCTGCTGTGACGGCACCCTGCTCTGGTCGCACCCTGTTGTGACGGCACCCTGCTCTGGTCGCACCCTGTTGTGACGGCACCCTGCTCTGGTCGCACCCTGTTGTGATGGCGCCCTGCTCTGGTCGCACCCTGTTGTGACGGCATCCTGCTCTGGTCGCAGCCTTTCCTTGTGGCACCCTGTTGTGATGGCGCCCTGCTCTGGTCGCACCCTGTTGTGATGGCGCCCTGCTCTGGTCGCACCCTGTTGTGATGGCGCCCTGCTCTGGTCGCACCCTTTTCTTGTGGCACCCTGTTTTTGCATTAAACTGAGTCATGTTATGGCGGCGACTCGAGATTTTTTTTTTGTCAGATTTTTTTTTTCATGGGGCGTCAGCCGGTGCGGTCCGCAACTCCTAGTGACGCCGCTGAGAGTTGTCACATGAAAGAAATATACAGCCGTCACAGTACGAAAGGTATTGTTGTCACAGTACAAAAAGCATTGTTTTCACAGTATAAAATACGTGGTTGTTTAAAATATATATATATATATATATATATTGATGATTGTTCTCAGAAAAAGTTGTCTACACATTTATGAAATCCTAATGCGGTTTTCCTTCATACAAATTACTGAGTAAAAATTTTAGACTGTGTCTCAGGTTTCATAGCAAAGGGTAGGAACTCTGTTAAACATTTATCATTTTTTTAGTCTTAGTAAACGACCTTTGCCCCCAAAATAATCAGGATTTTAACTCAACAGAAATATATTGATACAAATCCTTATTAATTTCTTTTTTTTTTTTTTTTTAAATACTGGGTCTCCATTACAAAACACATCACTTTCGTTTGAACGGAAGTGAGAGGTGGGCAAGGTTTCGGAAAAAATGGGTTTTGAAACTATGTCATGAAACTTCAAATTAAATTACATTCGTTTGACAGTATAATACTGGTCGCTTAGGATCATCTAAGAGAGGCAATTAGTTGAATTATTTCCCCTCAAACCATCTCTTTTTTAAATGCCGAGCAATGGCACCGCAGAATTCAAATTTGGTGTTGGAATAGCTCGCAGATCGGTGATGCTGATTACGCGATTTTAAACGTGGTCATTATTTCACATTTGACAGAAAAACGATCCAATAACAGTTATTTATTTTAATTCTCCCTCATTCAAGTCCTATAAATCTAACACAATTATGAGTGATCATTTACTTTCGGTTGAAGCGTGCTTTAAAAGTGTGTTAAAATCAAACAAGGGAGAGCGTTTATTTCAACAGTTTCTGTGCACTGTAAGAATGTTTTGGCATTGTTAACAAAAAAAAAAAAAAAAAAAGAAGAAAAAAAAAAAAAAAGGGGGTGATCTACATTATTATTCAACGTGACCTCTCATGTCACGTGCCACGCACGTTTATTACTGTCGCTATTTAAACCCTTACTTTTTTGGGATTCTCAAACATTTGCGTGATGGGTGTGGCCTGATGCTAGACCGACTTCATGCGTTGATCTGTATTATGGTCGTGAAAAGCATCATTATCTTAGTTCTACCAATGCTCCATGTCGCCTATCTTAGAATTATTTTTGACCACTGCTCTACCACAGATCACATGTATATAATTTATATGGCTACCAAAATTAATGTTTCTGTATGTAAGGTGTAATATTTGCATGGGAATAGCAAGTTTTGTAAAGAATAAGTCATTTCGTCTCTAGTTGGAAAATTTAAAAAAAAAGATAAAATATATATATATATATATATATATATTTGAGAATAATCCTAGTTTTAATAAAACCAAATAAATAGGCTTAATAGATACGAGTCAAAATACATTTAAAAAATGGACACCCTGATTAAGAACGAAACAATTGGACTCTTGTCCCAAGCCGACGCATTGAGTTATGAAATGAGACAGACGGCGGTTCTCCTGCTGACTAGGGTCATACAGCCCCCGTTCATCCTCCTGGGCGTTGCGACGAACACTGCCAGCATTGTCATCTTCCTTCGGCTCGGGGTCAAGGACAGCATCTCCGTCTGCTTCTTCCTCCTCTCCTGCTCAGACCTGGGAGGCCTGTTGTTCGTCGTCCCGGCCATCGTCTTCTCCAGCTACGTGCCGACGTACCCCGCGGAATCGTGGTGGGTCGACACCAGCTCGGTCGGTCTCATCCTGATCTTCTACTACCTCATTCTGTTCGACACGTCCCAGCTGATCACCACCTTCATCGCCGTCCAGCGGTGCTGCTGTGTGGTGATGCCCTTCACCTTCAAGAACACGTTCACGAGGTCCAGGGCTCTGGTCACCGCGGCTTTTATATTCGCCTACTGCGTGGCGACTTACACGCCGCTGCTCGCGCACCAGGGCTTGAGACCCGTTTTCGATGCCGCGACGAACTCAACGGTTCTCACATTCTGGGCCTCAGAAGATAGACAGGGCTACATGTCTTTGGTGGACAAAATGAGCGGGATGTGCCTGACGACCATCTGCCAAGCTACGATCATACTCTGTCTGCTCATCTTAGCAGGAAGTCTGAGGACCTCGTCCAGGTTTCGAAAATCCATGACGTCATCTTCTTCCGAAATTTCCGAACGCAAAACCTTTAAGAAGGTCAACCGTGTTTCTGGAACTCAAAGCGCGGCGACCACAAAGAAAAATCGTGACGTCACCAAAAATGTTTCGGGCAGCAGACGGGAGATCCAGGCCGTCCAATCGGCCACGTTCGTTTCCGTTCTGTTCGTCTTGTGCAACACGCCGAAAGTCGTTTTAGCGTACGCCTTCATCGTGGAGCCCGAGCTGGGCCTCTACGGCCGCTACCAGAACATCTACTACGTCGTGAACATCCTGAGGAACACGGTGGAGTACATCAATGTCTCCCTGAACATCTTAGTCTACCTCAGGTTCAACACCCGCTATCGTCAAAGTTTTTTTTCGTGTCTGTACCGGTAACTGCTATTGTAGCACGGGAAATATCTATAAATAAATAAATAAAATGGCGTCAAGGGTCAGACTTGTCTACTGCTCGATTATGAAGTGTTGGTGCATTGGTTATAAATTAATGTTGAAGCCAACTGAGAAATGCATTTCAGTGATGACCTCAAAAAAATATTATAATCTTAGTTATACTGAATGTCAGGCTAAAAAAATACATCTTATAATCTTAGTACTGAATGTCAGGCTAAAAAAAATCTTAAAATCTTAGTACTTAATGTCAGACTAACAAATAAATCTTATAATCTTAGTATTATATGTCTGTACATTGTCTAAGATTTTAAAACCACGAGGGACAACACAATGAGGGTTGATGGGGACAACGCAGTGAGGGTTGATGGGGAGAACACAATGAGGGTTGATGGGGACAACACAATGAGGGTTGAAGGGGACAACACAATGAGGGTTGATGGGGACAACACAATGAGGGTTGATGGGGAGAACACAATGAGGGTTTTGGGGACAACACAATGAGGGTTGATGGGGACAACACGAGGAGTGTTGACAGGGAAAAATATGACGAGGGTTGATGGGGACAACACGAGGAAGGGGACAACATTTAAGGAGGTAGTTTGGATTTTAAAAAATGTGAAACTAAAAGGGGGGTTGGGTGCCATGGGGAAATAGAAAGTCTTTTATGGAGTTGTAAATTTAAAAAAAAAAAAATCAAGACCAATAAAACAACTAACACCCTCTTATAAACTTCCGATTCAGAGCAACCTCAGACTTCAGCTTATCTAGAGTCTAATTATGAAGAAAGATCGTTGTATAGATTCTAACCTTCACAACAAAGAAAGATACACTTGAACAGTACAAAGTAATCTATAATTACAAACTACAGCCTACCAACAACTCCTGATGGCACTGATGTCTCATTACTATACAAAGGCAATCCCAAATTTTAAAGGGAAAAAAACAACAACAGCAAAAAAAAAAAAAAAAAAAAAAAACTTAAATAACACTAAGTCTCATGATTTCAATTTTCATTAGTAAATGGACATAACTTAACATTTAAAAAAAAAAAAACAACAAAGAAAGATACACTTGAACAGTACAAAGTAATCTATAATTAAAAACTACAGCCTACCAACAACTCCTGATGGCACTGATGTCTCATTACTATACAAAGGCAATCCCAAATTTTAAAGGGAAAAAAACAACAACAGCAAAAAAAAAAAACAAAAAAAAAAACTTGAATGACACTAAGTCTCATGGTTTCAATTTTCATTAGTAAATGGACATAACTTAACATTTAAAAAAAAAAAATTCCCCAAAGTTAATGCAAATATATATATTTAAGTTAACCCATAGATCAGAAGCCTCGAACACTCACCTAATTTCGATAGCGTAATTTGTTTAAAGTCATTCTAAAAATAGCAGAAGACTAGACATATGAATGATTCGGTGTTGTCCCGTTTTCCTTCCGAAATTATGACATCACGGTCCATTAAAAAGTCATAAGCAATATCTGGCATGATTTGTTGTTGAAACATGTACAGTATAGGGTTTGTCATTTGAAGGCGAAAATCTATTGATAGAACATCCAGGTATTCCGTTTGGCCAATCTCTCAACATCCGTTCGGTACCTTCTACGTTAATATTGGTCAGCGTGGGTCTTAACCTAGCCATACGATTTTAAAAACAAATTGTTACTGCTAAATAAATATCCTGAAATTCTTTATTAGATGCCATGTTTTACGAAGGCGTTGTCTAAAAATAGTAACATTACGTAAGGCGATGGGACGTTTCCCGGTCTTTGAAATGCCAATTCTTATTAAAAGTTACCAGCTGACTCTTTCAACATCCTCCTGTCATTTACCAATACATCTGACATTTAGGATAAACCTTCTCAGCTGCAAGTGTGACCTGACACATAAACCAGTCCCTCTTACCTGGAAGTAAATCTGACATGCGTAGCATTCACTCTCTTCTACAAGAAGGCCCGTACCTGAAACATATCTCATTCGCTCTCGCTCGCAAGTGTACCTGACACATACCCCATTCCCTCAAAATCCAAGATTACTTGACATACACCCCGTTCCCTCTCAACTGTAAAGTTACTTGATATACACCCAATTCCCTTACATCTTCAAATTGCCTGACAGCTACCCCATTTCCTATCAACTCCAAGGTACTTGACATATACCCCATTCCCTCACATCTCCAAGATTACCAAAAAAAAACCAACAAACAAACAAACAAACAAAAAAAACAACTAACAAATGAAATCTTTGAAAATTTGACACCCCTTAAGTATACCAGCACAGCAACCCTGCTAATGGGAAAATGGCATCAGTTATTTCTCAGCTTTCTCTATGTTAATTCTAGAAAATGAAATGAAGAGAAACTAATTATGTTAAAGTTATGTATTATTTATGCATGTCTTACAACATGTCAAATGTTGCTTAAGTATACTCAAAATATAGTTGGATTAAAATTTAAAAAAAACCACAACAAAACAACCAACAAAACAACCAACAAAACAACCAACAAAACAACCAACAAAACAACCAACAAAACAACCAACAAAACAACCAACAAAACAACCAACAAAACAACCAACAAAACAACCAACAAAACAACCAACAAA